ATTTGAATTTGAACAGACAAATTTTGAAATATTTATGCCCCCCTCTCCCGAAGAAGAAATCGATTTTGTATTTAAAAAACAATGAATATGACTGTCAGATACAACGTTTGTAGGAACATAAAAACTTAACATGAAAAGTCACAAAAAGTTTTCATGCAACTATAACATTGTTTAGAGGAAAATTGCTCTACAGTCCAATTCTCAGATTACCAGATTTGAGGAAGCCATTTATCTTAAGAACCGATGCACCTAATTATGGAGTTGGTGCAATGTTGATGCAGAAGTACGACGGACGTACATTCCCTTCTGCATATGGAAGCTTGAAGCTGCTAAACAGAGAACAATGTTATTTTGTTATGGAAAAGGAGTGTCTTGAAGTCGTATGGGCCACACAGAAATTTCAGTACTACTTGTATGGTAGAGCGTTTGTTGAGGAAACAGATCATAGACCCCTACTGCATTTACAAAAGACTGTAGTTTCTAACAGCAGATTGAGGAGATGGTCTCTTTTTCTACGAACGTTCAACTTTAGAAATGAAGTTATTAAAGGTGTAGATAATATTGGAGCTGATTTTCTCAGTCGCGTTCTTTCTGAGTAAGTTCGTGTTCATAAAGGCTTTGTTGTGTACATGTCTCATTTTATCACAAAATTAAGAAGGGAGGTACTGTCACAAGTGACTTTGTGACAATGTTTATTATGAGTTGGTTGTACAGGTATTTTAAAAAGTTGTCTTTGTGCATTAGGAGTTATCGTTTATTTCATTTACGCTCTATTGGTCACTGAGTTGTACTTGTTGCTATTTTATCAACGTATACTCGTCGAACTCGTTTGATTAGTCTGGCTAGTTATTTATACTGGGTGTTGGCTAGTATTTTTCAAATGAGGTCTGGACGCCGGAAGTTAATTTACCCATGCTTAGTGATCTTGTGTGTGTGCTTTTTAAGCGGTTAGCTTCGCTAGCCGCTTTATGGCATGTGTCCGATTTTTATCGACACCGGAAACTTCCATAAGGCGCTACCTATCGACGACGGAAACTTCAACAAAGCCTCTACCTAGTACCTATGATTTGTTTCTAACACATATAACATATGTTAAATAAAATCAAGACTATCAAAACAACATAATCTTTCGGTTTTTTAATTTTTTTCTGATTTTGTTTGTCAATGAAATAAATTTATAATTGTTGTATTAAAAAACGTTAATGTATAGGAGCATTTGGTGTCGAGATTAAATTTCCGTGACATCAGCTGATTGCGATCGGGCCCTGTGACGAAATTCGAAGTCAGCATGAACTTTAGCTGATAAAATTATCAACGCGTTAGATTTAAACTTTAGGAAGAAATGTATAGCGAGAAATATCATATTTGAACCCAATGCTACACGTAAACCAGTAGGCATTTCCGATTTATGTGTTAAATTGAAGCCTGAATCGAACAGGGGGTCAAAATGGCATTGGACACCTTGTGTATTTATATATAGAGGGGGTAGAATGTTGCGATATTTGGCTAATTCAGAGACTTACTGATAAAAATGCAGGTGGCTGTGATTAATTATAAGGCACCCCTCATGAACAATAAATATTTGACCGAATTATGCTACTGGGCACAGGGAGGTCGGGTTAATTACTGGCTAAAGGGGTTGAAGGTTATTACCGACTGCAAAACATCGGAGAATCTCTCGATCGAGTATCATTTTCCAAAATATTAAGGCATCCCTTTAATTAACTTAAGTAATACTAGTACACGAAGAAAGCCTTTATATAAAAATACTGAATACATCTGCAAGTTGTACAGTTATGGATTACTTCCATAATGAAACGCTTGTTTTCTTCTCCTTTTTTCTCAATTAGAATTATTTAAAAGATGATAAACAAAAGCTTTGTTTCCAGGGATAAATTCTGTACTCAGTCTAATTATTACAAACGATTTTAAACGATCACATTTTTATTTAAAAAAAAAAAAATGGGAGCCTCAAAATACTAAAATTAATTTTAAAAATTGGAGAAAAAATTTAATCGACATTCGATCCTTTTCTAAAAATCAGCCGATATAAAATATGCACAGAAAAAAGAGGCATGAAAAATCTTGACGATAAGCACAAATTGAAAATTATATCTAATGAATGATTATTTTTGAAAGTTTGCTAAATTCCTATGCAAGGTATAAGTTGTAAAAATGCTTTTTAAATTTTAATTTGTCCTATTTGTTAATTATCATTTTAAGCCTTTAGAAGAAATAAAAATTAAAATACATATGCTTACAGACATATTGATAGAAATTCGCATACTTGTTTTTAGTAAAAACAAAAACAATGTATTGCTTATGCGACATATTGAAGAAAGTGACAATGATACCTAGTTAATTCCTGCAAAGGACAATTAAAGTGTTTGTTATACACTGACTTTTAGTGAACCTTTGAATTTTTAAAATATTAGTATTGATGGATTAAACAACAACTTTACTTTTCACACGTTTTTTTTTCAATATACAATATTTACAATATTTCATGAAAAATATTTGCCAAATACTCAGTATATGTTCGTTTATACATATCGTGCAAGACTCTTTTTTTTAAAATAATTGTCACATACCATTTACTTATTGGAACATTTAATTGTATGAAAAGTCAATAATATACATTTCTTAAAACTTTATTATCTTGTTTACTTGTCTTTCTTCCTGTGAGAGAAAAAGTTCATAATATTAATAAACAGATGTACTCAGTATCTGTATCAAAATACAGAAGGAACAGTGATCGGTCTCAAAAGAAAAACGAATCCTTGAAAGTTCCGGTGCCTACGAGAAGTAAGCATCCCCAATGACAGGTCACACCTGCTGACCTGCAGTGAGCCTACGAAACTGAAGCTCTCTTAAATTAATTAATTCTCTGCTCGTCCATCCGTTTTTCTCAGACTAGCCAGCTAAAGATCTATGTACAGTACTCCAAATCAATTAATCTAAAGAATTTGAATTATCATTTTATTTTCTTTTTGAGTTGTTTGCTATAGTAGCCTTTATAGTTACCTAATTTCAGAATCAATTGAGCATGAAAGCCAATTAAATTTGCAACATCAACATAATTTTTTTTCGTTCTGAGCACTTTTGGACGCCACCAATGGAGACAATTAGGGAGAAATTTTTGAAATTGAACTTCCTGTCTTTCGAACTGAAAATCTCAGGTTGATATTTTGAAACAAACATTTGTGACATCAGTCTGGGATGTTATTTGTTTTTCCATTTAGTTAAGTACTACAAAATTCAGTGTGTCTGCTTCTTTGCTGATGACATTGGACAAAGATATTCATGCTTACTTTGATATCACCATTCAATGCATTTTTTGTTATTGTACACTGTACATATTCGATGAAAACATGATAACCGCTTTTCAGTACTTTCAGTACTTTGATTATATAACCCATGCTGTGTGATCTTGTTTGTGTTTCCCCTGCTGAGTGATCTTTGGATTTAGTCATGTTTATAGCCGCGTTCAGAGCAAGACCTGGGGGATCAAGGGGACGACAGTGTGTTTATTTTGTATAAAATGCCACAGCTCAGTGCAAAAAATTGTATATAAAGCTTTTGCTCTGGATGGGAGGATTTGCTTGGAGACTGGCTCTATTTAGGAATATAATGGACGGGCACGGACAATAAGGTGGACAATTTTAAGACAATTTAGCGACGTGGTGTGAAACTGTCCCGGGAAAGCCATGATCGAACTTTTTGCCGTCGGGTATTCATTGCACATATGTAGATAAATTTATTGTTAATTTTTATAAATCTTGTTATTTCTTGGTACACAGGAGGTCTTCCAAAGTATTATTTGTTTTGGTAAATGTAAATACCAATTTAAAGAATGCATCACAACTTGAGGTCAGTTGTGACATGGTCATACATTTATTATTGATTTCTCTGCATATTAGCTAGAATACAAGATCAAGGTACATGCATTTGTTATTAACAAGGAAGAAATGAACTAAATATCGTTATTTGATCAACATTTTACGAAAACACCAAGCATAAAGAGCACAATGTTTAGCCGGGCTTTGCTGAAAAAAAAGTCCTGGCTATAGGCATCATGATCGACTGCCTTACTGTAAATAGCACAGTAAACAAAAAACCAAACAGCGTCAAAGCATCGCTTCCGATAAACAAAATAAAAGTCCCATTTGGAGACGATATTCAAACAAATATTTTTAACATCCTCATCGTTGGAAAAGTTGATGATCAATATGTTTGCTTGAGAATTAAACTGAAAAAGAAATTAGATGTTTATTTTATTGGAATAATCGTAATATAACAATTTGTGCACATACACTGCTAAATGTATATTCTAAGCCGCCTACTTTCAATGGTGCGGGCTTTTCGAATTGTTGATATTGTTGAAGAGTTTCATGCTTCATATCGTTTTCGTCGACGTTATGTTGCTGGTTATATTTTGTTTTGACTTTTAGCAAATTAATAGCATAGTGAATTGGAAGTTTAAGAATTAACATGCGTAAAGTCGCTTTACAATGTATATCAGTGTTTCTACATGTACTTGGCGATAAAAGTACTGTTGTTTGAAACTAAAAGATTGTCTATAAAATACACCTGTGCATTATATTAACTATTCCATGACTGAATTTTTAAATTATGTGAAAAAATGCTTATTAAATAGAAAATATGCAAGAATATCTTGGAAATTTCAAATAAATATAAAATCATAACATACCTTACGGTCTGGTCTGTTAATTTTAATAACTGGCAACTGTATATGTATATTGTTTAAAATCATAATCATACAGACTCTACCTGTTAAAAATCAATGGCAAAAAAGAAAGAAAAAAATAAATATATACACTAATTTCGGATCAGACAATGTACTCGAGGAGTTAAAGCCCGCGATCGGTTTTTAGTTCTTTCAATACTTTAATTATCATGTTTTCAAAGTAACCAAACTTTGCCGTTTTTTGTTCCAACATTGAACAAAAATATCTAGGGAAATGACCAATAAAATGTAATTAACTTCGGTACAGGTATCTTATTTGCTTCACAGTACCTGGAGGCCACGATTTCAAATCTTTGACAGCAACGAAAAGATTGTCATCTCTGTCTGTGCACAATCTATAAGGTTGATTTTGTTGAAACTTTATGAAACGTAAGAAATGCCCATCCTTGTCAATAATGTGGACACAATAATTATCATAATCAGCTGTAAGGATGTGACCTTGACTGTCTGTTGTGATTCCTGTCGGATTGAATAGTTTATTCTTTGGAGCAGGAGCGTGTCCAATGTATCTGAATCTGAACTTTCCTGTTTGATTGACGACCACTACTGCTTTAGCTGCACAGTCAGCCACACAGATGTCACGGTTTCTGTTCTCACATATGAAGTTTGGAAAACCACCGAAGATAAAGAGTGGGTTACCATCGTCATCAAACTGAATTGATTGTTTTTCTAAGTTACCAGAATATCGGACAACTTTCGATTGTTTTTGATCATTATTTTCCATAGAAATCAGTAGATCATCATCAGATGTGCTACATATGCCAATAGGTCTCCAGTTCGTAATCTGATCAACTCTTGAGTTTTTCCTTTTATCACAATGTTAACGGTCCCATCCCCCTTATCAGTATAAATGAGATTTCCACTTTTTGTCACCGCTAGGTCTGTTGGTATGTCTTCCGACTTGGTTGTGATTGACTCAAGTGAAGAATCTTTATTGACCATATACAGTTCCATGATAGCTTCACCTTTACATAGCCATATCTTTTCATCGCCCAAACACGCAATATTTATCATATTCTTAACACATTTGATTTCTGTGTTGATAATCTCTGGTTCATTACGCAGTTTTTTGTCTAAATAAGGATGTCTATTTTCAACTGTTTCTTGACTGACTGCACCGCAGTCTGCTGATTTCAAAGGGACTGGAGGAGGGGAACCAGATTCTGATGGTTTTAGTTTGGGTTTCCTAGGGACTGGAGGTCGATATCGAACTTCTGGTGACCTCTCCTCAGTTGAAAGAAGAGATTCAATTGCTGGTAAATGCTGATTGTTGGGGAAAAGGCGTTCAGTTTTTTGCGCTTTTAGGGAAATTGGAGAGGAATCAGAAAAGGAACTTTCTTCTGATGAGTTATTTGGGATAACTTGCACGGATTCATCCTCGCGTGATCCTTGTGTGGTTTTCATTCGGTAGCCATTCTTCTCTGTTTTGAAACAAGGTGCTGCTAAACTTCCGAACAGTTTTAAAATGCTTCCCTCTTGTATTTCACCTGGTGTGAATTTAGATTTACAAAAAATTAGTTTTGATGGAAGTTTTTTTATAATGATCTTTTAATTTCACACTTAAAATTTCTGAAATGTCGTTCGAGTCGATAACTTTATCAAGCGAATCAATTTCATTTCTTATATCAACAACAATCATGTTAATTTCATCCATTTTTCTTTGTAAAGTATCTGTCTTTGTGTCTTTTAGTTTTATAACATCAGTTTTTAGTCTATCGACAAGTTTGTCGATTACTGAGTGCCAGAATTCTCCATGTTTTGTTATGGCTGTTAAAAGATCCTCAGCTTCCTTTTCCAATTCACTTTGAATCGTTTCTAGGTCTGAAAAAATGTCCAGGTAAGAAGGATAGATTGTTTCTTTTAATTCAGTTCGCTCTTTCTTTATCATGATTTTTGTTTCTCCCGAACTTCCAATATATTTAATATCTTATGATTGCGATGTTTATTGACGCAAGTGGGACAGACAGAGATTTCACACCTTTTACAATACATCACACATGTTTCTTTTTCATGTGATTCACATGTAGGATAGAGAAGAGTAGAATTTCTTGACTTAAATTTGACAACATGGTGATTCTTGGTTTCATCAGTTGAAATTTGTTCACCCACACACGCCTTACAGAGATTAACGTGACATGGATCACAGTGCATCTGTACCACATCAGTAGTACAGACGTCACAACGTATCACATCCTGGGAACTTGTGCAAGGGTTCATTTCCGAATTTTGAGACTCTGAAAAATGTAAAGTTTCACAATCATTGGAATAGATTTTTGGAACGCGTTCATGACTCCTTCTGGGCCAAATCCTATAATTAGGTATGAAAGAATATTCCAAAAATATAACACAATTAAAATACCCCATATTTCATATAATGACTGATTTAAGCAATGCTCTTAGAATCTAGATCTGGAAATAAAGATGGAAAAAAAAACCTGAAAATTTAATCAAATAGCTCAGCACATAACTGAAAGAAGTTAACAAGCGAGGAAAAAGCGAACGCCTTCCTAAAGTTGTTATACAGAAATATTAGAACAAATTGTAACATCAAATATGAAATTTAAAAAAAATAAAGCCATAATTATTACCTGAATACAGGTAAGGAAATCGTTCTTTTCCCTGCCAAAGTAAAGCTAAACAATTGATATTTTATATTACATGATCCGTATGCACGCTCTTCTGTCAAACAACTGTCAGTTTCTGGTTTCCTCTAGGTATTTAATGCGCAAATGCTGCACTTCAATGATTTACGACAAACGGCTCAAATTTGTATTTTATTACTAGGGACGGAATTCTTCAAATAATGTTACACATAAAGCCTTTATTTGTTAGCATATTGCATGCACAAATTAAAGTAAAATAAACATTGTGCCTTAAAGAGTGAATCTGCTGAAATCTGTACAAATCATAGAGTAAAGATTTATTTTCGATTTTTTGCCGTTTTTTTAAAAATAATTATTTAAAGCTGAACACGACTTGTAAATAGGCATCCGCCATTTTCGATATCGTTATATACGATACATCAACACTAGGGTATACTCTTTGCATTCGTTACACCTGACTGCTTTATTGTTATGGGTATCAGCATGGAATGGTGACCTGTGTTCGTACTGGTTATCTTGCATTACCTTTGTTTACATTTCATTGCAGTTACGTTTATCTGTGTTGTCTGTATACTGCATTGACCTGTACAACTATATAATATGGGTAGACTATTTCAAATTTGCAATTTCGTTTTTAGCACATAATTTTTAAATAACATTTGAAAAATGAGTTAAAAAATAAAGTTTTCAGTTTAGGGTATTTGTTTCCATTTTTGCAATTACACATGTACATTATTAACATTTTTTGCATATTCTAAACGATTTCTAATCCAACTTGAATTACACTTTTCTTAAAAACCATTGACATTGCAATGATAAAAGTATTTCAAGAATTTTAATTATCTATTGAAATCATTTGTTTTAGCTGTAACATCTGGTGTACTGTAAAAGATACAAATCCATTGTTCTGATTTATGATGAACAAGTATTTAGCTGCGTCATTACAATTGTAGCATTTATTTTTAAATATATTGTTAAAGAGCTATTCCACCCCCTATTGGCCCCATATATAATGATAGTGAATGCATAACAGGTATGTAAAAGGTATGTACTCCGTATATTTAAATGTAATTCTCAAAAGGAATGTGTCGTATTTTATAACTTTCACCTGTCATTGAAGTTTTTCCCTTTTTAATATATAAAATCATTTAAATGAAATTAAAAGAAAAGATAGAACAATTTGTTGTCATTTTAAGACAAAAGTTTCTCTTTTTATGTGGAAATTAAAGAGTCACAGCCATTCAAAATTGATCTTAACGAAGGAATATCAAAATCTGAAAAAAAGTTTTCTTATATTTCGCAGACTTATAAGTATTTCTAGGATACTTCTTTAATCTTAAATCTTAAGCTGAATCTTTTAAATATATTTTATGTGAGGCAAATTAAGAGTGAAGGTGGAGTGAATTTCCTAGACTGAAGTTTGACAAATGATTTGTATTCTCTAGCATAGACCTCTCACAGACCTAAGTTCACAAAGCATGTACATTTGTCTCACAGTGCACATGTACGACATATAGAACAGCCTTATAAAGAATACATCGGATCAAATCCTGTAAAGTAGTATTTGGATCAACTGCTATATTCATAAAAAAAATCAATATTTGTTTTTTCATTGTTTTAAAACAAAGAACTATATGAGGTATATTGCATATACTGGCCCCCCCACAAAAGTCAAATTTTGAAAACTTCCTGAAATGTGCTGAATTTTATAAATTGTATGTGAAATATAAATTAACAGAACATATTATTGTTTCAAAGTAGTTTAATCACAATTTTTGTTTTTATGACGTCACAAACTAGTCCGATTTTACATCATGTTTCAGAAAGAGGACAAAATGGACAAAATTTAAACAATTTTAGCTTTAAAATTTATAGAGCGCAAGTTTGTTCAGGAACAATATTTACATATTTCATTTATTTTATCATTCTGCACATTATATCAAAATATTGAGGCTGAACACACATGTGCTCGGTGACTTTTACTCAAAATATCGACGAAATATGAACATTTTTCTGTAGAATTCATAAAAAACTGAAATTTACGTCATGTTTGTGACGTCATTTCGTACATATGACGTCATAACTTATGAAAATATTCAGTGCGTTGAAGTCAGCATATACCCCCCTATTTAAGAACATAATAAAATATTTCTTCATCAAAGTTTGGTTTGGGGGGCAAATATCAGTTATTACCGAATAAAGTTCTTTAGTAAAAAGGACTCTTTTAAATAAATAGATAATATAAATATGGCATTAAAATAAGAATATTCTCTGTTCTTCCTAAATCATGCTTCACAAATATACCTTTCTTCATGATTTTCACTCTTCCATGGCTTTCTGATGTTTCGAAAGTCCGTGTTTGCACTGCTCCTATTTTGTATTGTTTTATGGTCTTTGAGATTGAATATTGTTCCTTATCTCCATATCATTCATGCAATTAATGAAACTGAAATTTAAAGAAAAATATTGAGAATATTGAGAAAGAAAATGAAGCATAGGATTACATTGTATTTTGTTAGTGTTAATAAAGTTTGGTTATTGGTAATTTTATATGCTTTAGACTGCTGTTTTCATAAAAAATAAAACACGGCTTCTTCATAATACCGACCCCCCCCCCCCCAAAAAAAAAAAAAAAGATGTAAAATTGTATTATATTTTAATGAGAATAATAAAATTGTTATTCGCTGCTAATCTTGATAAATTAAAGTCAAGCCCAGGGTTTCGATATCATTAACAGCTGTTCTTGCATTTGAAATGGTACTTGTGAATTTACTTACCTTGTCACTGGTCATTCGCAATGTTATTTCGTTAAAACATTCTGATTACACACACAAGTACTCTGAAGTAGACACCAAAAAGATGGCTGAGCATTTGATTGACAGTATCTTTGATGTTTTTTGAGACCAAGTCTTCCAACAATCTATTCGAATTCCCATGGGTACGATTTGCGCCCCTTTATTAGTAGATCTATTTTTCTATTCATATAAAGCAAAAATTGTGCAACATCTGATAAGTGAAAAGAAGGAAACACTTGCTGTGGTCTTAAACTGGATATTTTGATATATTGATGACGTATTGTCAATTAACAATTGTAATTTCAATTTTTATGTCGATACGATATATCCTCCTGAGCTTGAGACAAGAGATTCCACAGAGTCTGACAAATTTGTTTGATATTTGGATATTTTACTTTAAAAAGACGTTGTATTAAAGGTAATCTAACAGACAAGCTCTATGATAAACGTGATGATTTAACTTTTCTAACGTCATCTTCTCTTTCTTATGAAGCAATATGCCTTCATCACCTGCATACAGAGTGTACGTATCTCAGTGAATTCGATATGCAAGAGCATGCTCTACGTTTGAACAATGTCTAAAACGAAGTAGATTATTGACAAACAAGTTGATGAAACAAAAATATCATCATATCTCTTTTAAGTCATCATGTCTTACGTTCTTACTATTACATTGTCAGCAAATACAGTTTACCACTGACTCAAATGCTGACTGATGCTTTTCATACTAATTGTTAGTCCATTATTTATACATTGAATTGACGACGGATCTTTCTGTTATTTTTCGATCATGACAAGGAGCACAAGGAAGGTGTGACCGGTTGGCAGGGGATGCTCACTCCTCCATGCCTCCTCTACCTTTTCTAGGTTCGTGTTTGTTCTGCTTCTGTTTTGTATAATTTTTTGGACTTTCAATTTTGATTACTGTTCGTTATCTCCATATGTTACATTACATCTTGCACTTTAACCTATGTGAAGTCATTTAGCTCAATATCAATATTAACTATTCAATTACACATGTTATTGTCAAATTATCTATTTTGATAACTTTTTTCTTGAAAATCGTGACATGGTATATTTTCAAAGCAGGGTCTACCTAGCAGAGACACTCTTTTATATATTTCAGCATCAGAAGAAGTTTTATCCCTCTATAGATCCATAAGTTTCAAACACTTTTACTTAGCAAATTATCATCTTAAATGTAATGATAAACGTCTTTTTTTATCAAACGCCTGTAGTTTCCGTATCCTCCAGGTTCATTATTATTCTTTATTTGAACCTCTCTTAATCTAGACAAGTATACAGTAAATTCTCGATAAACCGCCACATTTTGTTATTTAGAAATCATGGCGGTATAACGAATTTGGCGATGAATTGAATTTGCCACCTTTTAAGAAATAAGATATAAAGTTATCGTTCTTAGAAATACCATTTAGCGTTTCTATTCTTTATATTATCACATGTAAATGTATATATTAAAATATTTCTAAATTTAAAAATACTTCAAGTAATTTTTTGATGTACAATTTTGCTAAAACAAAAGATTCAGTTATGAAATTAAGTCAAGTACATGTGTATGCATATAAATCTGCACGTGTGATATTGAAAAAAAAAACGACCGCTTTCGTGGCGAAGCCTTGATGAAATGATTTAATTAAACAGAAAACAAAATTATTCTAACAATTCATGTTAAAATTATTGTTTACTTAATTGCATATAACGTGACCGGCTTTGCATGCTTTACAACACAGATAGCGCGTCAACAAATTAGCCGCGCTTCACTAACCACATGCACCTGTGACGGTATTATCGAGATAATTGACACTTAAAAATGGA